CATACTTTAATAATCTCTGTTTTAGTGCGATCATGTGTATGTAGTTTAATTAATATGCCTTTCAGAAAAGTCCTGCAGGCCGGCCGTAATTATTAATATATAAAATTAGATTTTGTAATGGGAAGAAACAAAAAGAGCGAAGAAAGTACAATTTAATTATAATTAAGGAGGGAGAAGAAATAATGATGGTTCACACAAAATAATCCACTTCCTCTTGTCTTCTACTTCTCTATATTCACACCCACAACCTTCCATATGCATACACACATGCAAAAGTTTTCATCACATCTCAGCCTTATTATATATGCTCATGCATTTTATATATAAACAGTTAATAATTACCCCCTCCAGACGAAGAATTGAATTATATAGATAAAAAAATTGGTTAAAAATAATAAATATGTAAAAATACATTTTATTTTGAAAATTACCCTTATTTTATAGAGAAAGTGAAAAAGGTAGGTAATTAATGCAGTGATATACCATAACCTGTAGCTAATGGAAAATGAAAAAGATTGCTTAAAATTTCTGACATCATTTAAGTGTATCTTATAAATAGGATTGAGCCTATCTCGAAAATTTTATTTTATATATAGAATAAGAAGAAGTATTAAGAACCTAAAAAGGTACATTAATTTGTTCAGACCATCAAAGTATCAAGCATTATGGACAACAATATAAAATAAGATCATGCTTGCCTTATTATTGATTGGCGTGTAATTTGGCCGGTTCAAATTCCACCACAAATCTTCTTGACCACTTTCCGAACAACAAAAAAAAAAAAGAAGAAAGAAAGAAACTATGGCTTCCATTAAAATTCAAATTCCAGTATTACTTCAGTGCCATAGATAAATTTTGGTTAATAGTTATCGTCATGACGTGACCACATTCTTACCACTAAGAGTTTTGTCTCCCAACTTCAACGACACTTGATATAATAACAACCATAAATTATTTCTTAATAAAAGGTATATTATCTCATAACCAATAGCGCAGTAGAATCAACTTTTTTTTTTTTGGCTTTCGTTATTCTTAAATAACCACTTATATATATACCTTGTTAATAAAAAAATTGTCATTGTAAAGTTTTATACCATGAGATAATCTAACTTGTTTGATCTTAACCAATAATAAATATTTTATTCCACTAATAACATTTATTTTGAATGCACGAGAACAAACATACTCATCTGGTCGTATTTATAAGGTAGAAAGAGAAGAAAATTTTTAATCTTAATTTATAATTTTACCTTTCATTTATTATTGTGTTGACTTTATTCTCATATGATATAGTATATATTAAATAGAGACAAAATTAGAAAGTTATTGAATTTTAAATGAAAATTAATAAAGTTAGGAGAATTACAATGAGGTTCCAAAGAAAAAAAATTACAAAATAAGTTTTAGAGATTGACATTCTCTATTTTAGAACTTGTCATTATAGGTTGCTTAGATTGTTATTGGAACATTTTAGTAATTATTTTCCTTTCTTGAAACTTGATTGTAATTCTTCTAATAAAGTTTTAGGTTTTTATTGGTCTATATAAAATATGTTGGAAGTGACTTATAAGTAGCACCAGAAAAGTAATACGTATTGTTAATCACTTTATTAAAATTTGAGAAATTATTAAATTTGTAAATAGATATAAATTAATTGAACTAAACACGCACAATTTCTTTACTTTAATCATCAATTATAACTTACAAACATAAACCTAAAAAAAACACACACAATAACGACGACGCAACAACAACTAATCAAATTGGTGACAACTCAATAGAAAATAAATTAAAGTTATCTAGTTTGTGAAAACAGCTAAAAAAAGATGGTATCAAAACTAAGATACCGACCTAAATCCAGGGAGGTTTTGAGGTTAGGTGCTACTCATCGTCTTTTTATGGCCCTGGTCTTTTTACATTGAGTTAAACAATTTGTAAAAGAAGGTCCCAAGAGCAAGAGAAAACAAAAATGACAACATCTTCAATAGCTTTGGTGAATAGCACACAAAAGATACGCAAACCAAAGGGAAAAAGCGGTTGGTGGGGATGTAATCATAGCAAGCTTGCTTTTCTGCATCATTTAGCTTGCAATAGATTGACCACCACCCCACAAATTGTTGTTCCTATATTAAAATCAAAAGTTATATACATATATATAGCTAATTGTAAAAATATAAGAGGTATGTTTATTTATGTGTTTCTTATATTTTATTGTTCAACACACAGATATATATAAATATATATATATATATATATATATAGTTGAGGTGTCAAACTCTTAGTATATTATATTGAAAGGGCACTGTGCGCCATCATGAGCATGTTAGCCGAATTTAGATACACGCTTTGACGTTATTGGCCATATATATGAGGCCAAACACAAGAGTGCTTTAGAGAATATTCGCCTCATTATTGGGTGGGACGGCTTCAACCCTCAAAATTAAGATTATTACACACACACACACACCCCAACCAAAACCCAAACTTGGAAGCAAAAGCCACTTCATGATTTGTAATTACACTCCACCTTGTTTCATTATTCCTTATTTTATAATATCTTTAGGGTTATAACTAGCTAATTAAACATGCATGGGCCAGTATTAATTTATTGGTATTTTCTTGAAACAAGGAAAACAAAAGATAAATTAAATATCATGGATATTTTGTGTTTGCCACATAAATTCGTTTGCTTTCGTCATATTATAATTTGTCGCCCATATTGTCTTTACACCATACTATAAGAAAGAGCCAAAGCGGTTTTATGCGGCTTACATACGAACCATATCAGTTGGGAATAGAGGTTTCGTCTTTGCATTGTTGCACAGTGAAGTTGGAGCCAACCATTGGGGTTATCCTCATCAAAAACTGGGAACAACATCCTTATCACCCAAACCTTTCGCATTCAGTGTGATAGAGAAAAGAGAAATAAGCATAAATGGGCACTCTGCAATATTTCGTCACGAGCTCCTCACGTAGGGCACTGAAAACTATGTGTTTGGCTTCACCCGCACTTCATTCCAACCAACACGTTTATGGGGGACTATTACTTTTTGTATCCTTCTGCTGCTCATTAGTTAACTATATTTCACCCTCAACTCAGCATACAGGGATTTACATACCTTTCTTGTTATAATGCACTTTGAAGAGACTTCACGGAGTACTTGATGAGATATGACTTAAGTTTTTTTTAATATAATCTATTTTCAAAGTCATTAATTACAAGAGAGAGTGTAATGTAAATTTAAAAATTTTCTATTTAGATATCGGTGGGTAAAATCAAATAAATAATTTATTTCATTTTAAAACAAAGTTAAGAACTCAACCAGATGTTTTTGGTCCCAATAAGGTGATTAGAGATGCTTTATAATGAGGACAAGAAAGAGTATATTTAATTGATGATGCGGACCACGTCTTTCTGATACGTGCTTTCGCTTTCCTGGTGGTAAAGATTTGGGTAATCATCGAAAAAGACTTCATTAGATTCTTGAAATCATGGCTGCTAATTCACGGTGGCCCTATATTAAAAGCTTCAGAGTATAAAAAATATAGCGGACAGTTCCTTGAGCAGTGAGGATAACCGGTAGTAAGCTCAATTTTACACTTAATCTATCAGATAATTCAACTAAAACTGTACTTAATTATAATCAATCATGATCAACGATTTTGTGTGAAGATATGTATTTTCCATAGTCATCTTTTTTTTTTTTTAAACCTTGGTACAATTTCCACAGTCCTCTAACGAGCACTTCCAAAATCGTTTTGCACTGCCTGGAAAGGATACTTATTCCTGCAGCCAATGCCCTTTTCTGGGGCCAATATTCCAATACTCAGAATCTGATTGGGCCCATTTGACTGAGCAGGTAAGCAAAGTTAAGTCAGTAGGCCCAAAATCCAATTTGACGGTGTGGAACTGTGGAATGCGGATAATATGCTATTACAGGGCCTCCAAGTGATTTCATTTCACTAAAAAGAAAGAGCCCATGATCACATTCAGCGGAGCTCAATTGGAAATAATTTTGTCCAAACATTATCAATAAGGGTTAATCCAATTAGTAAGAAGTTGGCTTATAACTCATAATGTAGTGAGTTTGAATCTCACTTCCAATATGAAAATCTTATTGGTAAGTGATTTGTGAGTATTTATGTAAGTTCTTTCTGAGCCTGGTAAACTCCTGAAACCTAAACATTTTCTGTAACAAAAAAAAGTATCAAAACATCTTTTGCATTCAGATTCGAACTCAAAACACCTTTCTCTCTAGGAAATACTGTTGGTTTGAAATGGCCATAATTTTAAACGGAAAGGAAGAAGAAAACGCTGCACATGCAATATTATGAACGTTACGTGCTCTGGCAGCTGTCAATATGAGACAGTGGCTCCATTATTCTTGCTTCACCTACGTTGGCAAGTTTTGTGATGAACCAAAAGCAGTCAGATTAAAAACCATTCACCACACTCAATCAGAAAGCATCTCTCACAACTTGAGAAATTAAAAGGCTTAATTACCAATCTAACCCAACAAGATGAATTTTGGCAAGCATTATTCTTTTCTTTCTCCATCAAACACTCCTACCCTTCTCTTCACAGTTCTCTGCGTCACCCTCACCCATTCATTCTCATTCCATAAAACCCTCTCTTCTTCCCATTCAAATTTCCATAAACCACCATGCAAGGCCGTGACGGCATTCCGATCCGTACCCCACCCCACCCGAAACCCTTCGGTCGCCGCCACACCGCCCGCTACTACGTCCGGCGTGTTCGTGACAGCCTCACCACTCGAGTCTCCAAAGTCATATGCGCCACTTTCTTGAGTTTCCTCGTCGTTATTGCCATCATCACCTTCGTTCTCTGGATAAGCCTTCGCCCTCATCGTCCTAGAGTTCATGTCCATGGGTTTTCCATATCGGGTCTGAACCCAGAATCCAAGTTCAACAATGCTCGGATAAATTTTAATCTCACCACCCGAAACTCCAACCAGAATATAGGGATTTATTACGAGAATATGAACGGGACGGTTTATTATCGGGACCACAACATCGGGTCGACGCCGTTACTTCGTCCGTTCTATCAGCAGCCAAAGAAGACGACGGTGGTTGACGGCGTTCTGAGGGGGCCCACGTTAAAGCTGAGTAGTGAGCGGTGGAAGGAAATGCTGGGCGATAAGAGGGCGAAAGGGACCGTGGTGTTCCGTTTAGATCTGACGGCCAAGATAGCATCCAAAATATCGATGTGGGAAAGCAAGCACCATCGGATGCATGCCAACTGTGACGTGGCTGTGGGCCCCGATGGCTCCCTCTTAGATGCTTACAGGGACAAGAGATGCCCCGTTTACTTCTCTTTCAAGTGACCGGGGAGTGCTCTGATTTATTTTTTCACTCTCGTTTATATTTTTTTAATTAAATTTTTATACAATCCTATAATAAATAATTCAAATAAAATTTAATAAGGTTCGCTTGTTTCCATATTAATCTTATATTTTTATTTATCTCTTTACATTATATGCAATTAATTATGAGCATAGAAAAAATCTAAACTTTGCATTGCAATTCACAATCATTTTTTTGACCAGCCAATTCACAATCATTACTGTAGTATTGTTATTCATTTTGAATATAGTTTTAACATTCGTTCAGTGGGCCAGTTCGATAATATTAACCTAGAGGAAGATTATGAAATAAATTAATTTAAAGCACATATCTATAAAATTAATTAATAAATTAAGTCGAAACGTATGAGAAACAGGACCAATGCGGGATCTTCGTTTTGCGTACACAACTATTTGCTTCGGCATTAACATTCAATATAATAGTAATACAACAAAATGATGTCCTTTAACATATCATCTGATTGAAACTAAAATTTGTTCACATAATATAGTCATAACAAGACCAAAAAGTGGCAAATAATTTGTCATTTTAACAAGAAAAAATTAAACAGAAAAATGTATTTCAGTACCAGATTGGAAAACAAAAGACATCACTATAATTAGAGAGACAAATACTAATAGTCTGAGGTTACTTATAAAATTAAATCCATAAACTCTCGCTCATCAGAAAAAGTTTTAACTTCTATGTCGCCACCTTGGTTGAATTTGGCAACACTCAGCTGCTAACACCGACATTGCAAGGCATATACTACCTTCAGTTCTAATTATAATATTTAGTTTATAGATTTTATAATTAGGACTTGAGGTAGTGATTATGGAGTTAACAAGTAACATGAGAAGCTGAGAGCTGCACTTGACTTGGACTTTGAGATTTTCGGGTTTGGATCTTTTCAGAATCCTTCTTTCGTCTTTTTTTCTTAGTATCTATTCTCCACTATTGGATTAAACAATAAATGGTTTATATTTAATATTTTAAAAAGTAGATATCCACTTTTTCTCTCCTATCTATGTAACGTTATAATAATAGTTTTATAAAATATGAAATCTAAACCATTCACTATTTGATCCAATGGTAGAGATCAGATACTGAGGAAAAAAAAAGAAAAAAAAAGGATTTTAAGAGGATCGAAAACCGAAATTTTCTATGCATATTTTGGTTTACGCGTTTCGAATCAATACGATCGCCTTGGTCACAAGCAAAGGTACAAATTCTTTCCCCACTTGTTGGTAACAAGGCATCGGCGCCAGAGAAATTCCTGCTGCCTCCATGCAGCCATTATTTTGAGAAAGCTAATGAATCCTCTCATATCAGGTTCCACCCCATTGCGCTCCAAATCTTGAGAATTAAATAATGTGCGAACCAAAGAACTTCTACGTTTGGCTGCTTGAATTTATAGGCCTCTTGGGTCTTCTTGCTTTCATCCTATGGCTGGCCCTAAGACCCAAACCTCCCTCCTACTCCATCGACTTCGTCTCCATTCCACAGTCCTCTGATCAGAATGGCACCATCATTTACAACCTCGAGATTGAAAACCCAAACAAGGAGTCTAGCATTTCCTATGATGACATAACTGTGAGTTTCCTGTATGGGCAGGATCAGGTGGCACAATCAACCATAGGTTCTTTTCGTCAACGAGCTGGTAAGAGCAATAGTATGTTTCAGAGTACTAATGCCAACGGTCGAGCTCTGAAGCCTCTGGTCAATGCGATTTCGAACGCCACAGCTGAGTTGAAGGCTGCTCTGAAGACCAGGTTTCGATATAAGACATGGGGAATTAAGAGCAAGTTTCATGGGGTGAACCTCCAAGGTACTCTGCCCATTGGTCCTGGTGGGAAGCTTTCGGGTAAGAAGAAAAAGTATCCCATCAAGAGTCCCTCCAAGAAAACCACAAGGTTCAAAATAAAGCATTGATCACTAGTCCCATCTGTGTCTCTCTGTGTCTGTGTGTAGATTTTTCATTCCTTCCTAATAGCGCATGCACCAATCCATAGTGTGTGTGCACACCCTCTTGGTCATAGTATTTGTGAATTTTTTTTCCGGGTCTGAACTGTATCTGTGGATTGAAAACACAAACTTTGTAATATATTGTGATTAGAATTCTTCTAAGGTTACACAATCATTATGTTTTTCTAAAATCTATATGTGATCAAAGCCACAATTCAACTTTTGCAGATGCCACTTACCAAATTCGGTGTTTTACGTTTCATTTGTTGTTATATATTTGTTGCTGTGTCAACCAGTCATGTTAATAATCTCAAGACTTAGAAATGGAACTTGATAAACCATCAAAGTATCAGGCATTTCAACGGAGAGCCCCAGTGCTTTGAACGTCACATCAAGAACAAGATAATACAGAATGAAAACCAACATCAATTGCACAGAAGGGAGAGATTCACCAATTTTAGATTTTTTTTCTTAAATATTTTTGTGCTGCTAGATGATTTTAAAAAAAAAAATTATGGCACTCAAGTTGGCACATGACACAGATGCTTGAGTTTAACCTACGACTGCACACTGCCTACCGTGATAAATCTAACCGACTTTAAGGACTCCGTTTCCCTGAAGTCCTACAGCTGCTAACGATTTGTCTCCTCCATTTGTGAATGGAAACCTGCAAGGCAACACAAAGGAGGTAGTTTAAGAATTGATCTGACAAAAGACGTGTGAATGTCCAATAATAAAATTAATCATATCTCGGACGAAAATGTCCTAATATTTTGAAAGAAAAGACAAAAGGTAAAAGGACAGAATAAATTCCTTACAGCAGGGAAACCACCATAATCCCCAGGCTCTTGGATGTCCTTGGTGACACAACTAGTAGCTGCAAGCCGAACCTGGAAGTGCCATACGATCGATGATCAGATATATCCTCAACCCCAACTTCCAGTTTTCAGTGTAAAAAAAGTACCATAGCAAAAGATATTTACATTCAAACAGATTCGCTGTTTATCAATAGGTAATACAGCAATTAAATAATTCTAATTTCTAAGTTGTCGTTGTTCTAAGTTGTTCTGGGAACCAGCTATGCTGCAAACAATTTCCCCTTAACTTCCAGAGATAAAATGTATTGAGGGGTTTAAAAACTTCAGATTAACCAATATATCTGTATATTTCCAATGTTTTTCAAGCCTGTTCTTAATTTTGTACCACTGGGAAAAAAAAAAAAATGCAGCCTTTCTAAATCTAGTTCAGTATTATTTATCTCATAAGGCGCACTCAGCGGGTCCGTTTATTATACATTCACTAGCCATTCTGAAGGCACCAAGGCCACACAAAAGGCTAAAACCTTGCAAGATTAGATAAGCTAATAAATACCTTTGATACAATGGAAACATGATCTCGCACAGCTACTCTTCCCCCCATAGTCACATAATCACCTATGCTGAAGGGTAGCATACCAGACAAAGTTGTAACTCTTGAAAAATTCAAAAGCTTCAGCATGAATTATTTTGAATACGAATTTGACCACAAGCATCAATCTGATTTATAAAAAACAATGATCTTTAAGAAAAGGAGTTGTGATAACATACGTTGCTGAACCTGCAATACCTACTTGCCCACAAATCATACAATTCTTCCCAATAACTACATTATGACCAATCTGCAGAAACAATTAGGACAGAGAGAAAAAGAATTCCCAGTAACGGTATACTTAATCATACAAAAGTTAGATGCTAACCTGTACCAAGTTATCCAACTTTGTATGATCCCCAATGGTTGTATCTCTCCAACTGCATAATTGATCAGTCACTAGCATAAATATTGAGTCTTCTAAAGCTCACAAGTCCCAAAAGAAAATCAAACTAGAATATATGTGTGTGTGTGTATATATATATTTATACATATATTTGAAAAGAAAGGTAAGCATGAAGCAATCAAATCCCTACCTGCCCCGATCAATGCATGTATTTGCACCAATTTCCACATGTGCCCCTATTATGACATTCAACATCTACATATTTAAGCAAGAAATGCAATTACGGTTAATCCAAACCAAATGTAACCAATTTAAAATTATATATGCCCATATAACATAAAAAAAAGTACATCACAGAAACATATAAAGATCCCTGAGATTATTTGTGCATTTATAAGCAACTTCTAATGAATCACAGTATTGATATTTTGTGTTTAAACAAGGTCTAGAAGTAAGCAATCTTTATATTAAAAAATTGGTAACATGAGTGTTCAGAAGTGTATGAGGTATTTAAAAATCCTAAGCTCAAAAGCACAAGGCTGATGATATCGGTCATTCTTTACAATCCACCTTTTTAAGGACAGTGCATATGTCAAAGAAGAAAGTTGAAATAAGACAACAAAGAACTAGAATTTGACATCAAAGTAAATGAAGAAAGATTACCAACCTGAGGCTTCTTTATCACATTACCACTACCATCTACATAAAATCCAAACCCTGCAGCACTTACATTAAGCTTATCAGAAAAGAATGAATTCCATAAAATACATTTCTAGTATCAAATTAGTTGATTTAAAGGCGCAAAGATAAGTTATTTAATAATATTCATAATAAGGAGAAAAGGGTGAGGCTCATGGTCTTACTAATATTGTACTTGCTTCAGGCTATATAGTGAGTTAGTGATAGGAATTCTTTTCTTTATCAAAGTATATAAAAGTCTAGAAGACAAGCAAGGGAAGTTGTTCAGCTTTACCGTCTTGACCAATGCAGACTCCATTGTGAAATACACACAAATTACCGACCTGGCAATTACTCAGAGCAACATTATACCTGAAAAAGAACAGCAGTTTAATTAAAACCGCTTGAGCATAAATCCAAAATTCTAGACATTTGGCAGAATTTAATCTGATGAGATGTACATTCAAATTATAAACATAGCATGTAATAGAAAGGATGCACTAGATACCAATAATAAAATGATGAAGACTAACACCAACAACAAGTTAAATTAATTTCTAACCATGTTTCGCAATAACCACAAGGTTAGCCAGTGAGTGCAGACAACTCGTTACTAATCACCACCAAATATTCCAAATACAGAGCAAACTTGACATCAAGTCCCATGCTCTTGAAATCATTGAGGGTCCATCTCTCAAATTTGCATCATAAATAACCCATACCTATATGTTTCAAATTACCAGTGTGTAAATTACAAAATGAGATGTAGCATATGCTCAATACAACATAATATGTGCTTTTGAAAGTCAGTTTCTACTTTCTGAATCAACATATGTTTACTGTCCAAGCCTTGACAGGTAAATCCCCTACAGTAAAAGCTTTTTGCAATTATAATCCTCTACTCTCAGAACAGGCGTCCTGCTTGGTATCAATGATCAGCTAAAAGCATTTACGTATTTAAGCAGAGCACATAAATTTCAGGGTTAGACAGAAATTCGAAACCTTTCGTACATAGAAATGTGTAATACTAACAAACATCGTTAAAGAACGGGAAAAACATGGATCGTACCCTATTTTTGTTGAATGGCCAATTATAACAGAAGGCCCAACAATCGTTCCAGACCCTATATGAACATTTGCTCCAACAACTGCTTTTGGATGAACAACAGCGCCAATCTCTACAACCGCAGATGAGTCTATGGAAGCCGATTCGTGGAAAGTGCCCCCTCCATTGAGCCATTTGTGAAACTTGTCAGAACAAGGTCCAGAACCATCCCCTAATCTTGAAAAGCAAGATAACCGCAAACGGGAATTAATAAAATAGATGCGAAACGAAGTGACGCACATTAAATAAGATGCATACTAAATACTAAATAGAGCTATGTTGGACCACAATTCGCAACTAAGCAGCTTCTTTGACTTCAGCTAGCTTTATCTCCCTCACCCCTAAAACTAAATGAATTGGGTCAGTGAAGATTTACCTGATTGAAAAGGCCCAGATTGTTCGGGCGAAACAACGGAAAAATGACGACGGCTAGCAGAGTGATGCAGAGCGATCGGCGAAGTGACTTGAAATTGAATTTTTTCAATATGATTGAGATAAAGGATTGAAGAGGCGACTAGCCTCCGAGCAGTGGCAGCCATAGCCAATTCAGTTAACGAAATCGAAGCTGGAAAAGTAGGAACGGAAAGCGGAGCTTAATAAACTCAAAAAATGGAGCTTTGTGTTTTGACTTTTGAAGCATCGTTCCAGCCTTACCGGGAAGGGTCGGTCACTACCACCATAATGGTTGAAGTGGGCCTTGGACAAACCACAATCTGCATTTCAGATTTTGGGCCTTGTCCATGCCCTCATCGTTTTAGTATTATAGAACAGAAAAAGCCTGCCCAGTACTCAAGAGCACTCGGAAATCCAAATCCAAAGATCATAGGCAGAATCTATTAAAAGTTAAAACACGACAAAAATAAGCCCAACATTCACCATTTGGTAATGAGTTTTCATTTTAAAAATTTCAAGAAAATATTTCAAAAATATAACAAATATCAAAATATAAAAAAAAAATTGGTACGTCCATTTGTAATTTGATTTTTAAACAAAAAGAAAATGATCAGGGAGTACCTTTAATTCATCTTTTGTTCAAGTAAATATGTTCCAAATGCGTTCAATATTGTTTGCTTGAGGTGTCAAATTTAACAAATATTTTTTCATTACTTTAATTTTGTTTTGGTTTTCATTCGCTAGCGTGTGAAGCTTATGAATTTAACCCCATATTCTCATTTTCTTTGGGTTTTCATTCGCTAGCAACAACAAAGCCTCCATGTCTTCAACCTTTGAGGAGTTTATTTTTACTTTTTCTTAGGAATGATTGTGCCTTTTTCTTCATTGGCATCAAATATGAAGAAGGCAGGAAGAAGGTAAGGAATAGATTTTCATGAGTATTAATCAAATATCATTAAAATTATTAAGGGTTAATATAACTTTTGGTTCCTGAAATTTAGGCATATTTTGGTTTTGGTTCTTCAAATTTTAAACTCATAATTTTAATCTTTGGAATTTAATTCCTCTTACAAGGTCAAAGTGGTGATGTCATTAAATGACATCTAGCTAGATCTTGTATGAATATCAGAGATGGATTTTCCTGAATACCCAACAAGCTTATATGAATGCATTTCACAACTTCATTTCTTGAATAAGCATTCCTCAGACTAGGATCCAGCAATTCGAACGGCTTCACTTCCCTCCAGAGCTTCCAGGCCTGCAGATAACTTGATCCATAGAATGATGTATTCTTCTTGCTACTGATACAATGATCTCTAAAATCAGGACGCCAAAACTATATATATCAAGCTTCACATGTTCTGGAGACATGCAGCGATTACAAAATAGCTTCACACGTTCCTAAACCAAACCAGTCTTAGGAACTGAAACATTCTCGCCTGCTCTCCATCCATATCTAAGGCACAGGAAGCATGGATCGAGACTTGGATCATGAGTATCGCTGTTTGAAATGCTATGGCAATAATTGTCGCAGCCTGAAACCTTGCTTTTATCTGAATAAATAGAGTAAAAAACTAATTAAGTCACAGATGCACACACGCTTCTGATTTTTGTTATAATTAGGGTTGAATAGAATTTGGGAAACGAATCATTTTGTGATGATCAATATGCACTTAATTACTTATCTTTTCTCTATCTTTTCTTCAAGGCTATATGGTTGTATGTCCTGGTAATATAAGAACATGTATATTTCACAATTTAACATGTTTTGTCTAAATAGTTAATTATCTCTAACTATTATTGAACTTCCTAACTGATTAATTGATTATCAAAACTCCTCTAAATAATTAATTTTAACTAAATTTTCTTGATTTATGTAAATTAATTAATTTGAACTTACAAAAAAAATATAAAAAGGAATATAAAAGAAGAAGAATATGACCTGCGAGGAAGATTATCGCAGCAAAGATTTGTTTTATTAATAGTGATCATGCATATCTTCTACGAGATAATCAATGATTGCTAAACCATATTCATTAAAGAGATTATAATCGTATGCAATAACGGAGAGTATATTAGAGGAGCACATGTAGATGTTACTTATTAACGAATATAAAATTGAAGAGGAGCAAAGCCAAGGGGGGCCCTTACTGTTTGATGAAAGCGATCAAGTTGTTAATTCCGGGAAAAAAAAAAGAAGAAAGGACGATAAAATGGTCATCGTACGTACAAATGTTCAGTATGTTCTAACCAGTAGAAATGAGCGAAGAGCTGAAAAGTGAGTCTTCATTAATTGTCGTATATGTGGTTTACAAAGTCAGCCGAGCTTCCAAAACTTTATGAAACTTCACTGCAGGACTAAAAGAGCAAACTGATATTAATTTTATAAAGAAAATGACGTTATTGCCCCTCATAATACTTATTGCAGGGTGACATGTAAAGGGACTAATTTCAGTTGTAAATAAAGATATGTATGTTGCAAATTGACTAGTCCCACTTGCAAATAGGCTCTCTCACACTTATTCACTCACAGACACCTTCTTCAGGTGAAGGAAGTAACATGTAAATAGACAGATTCTAATTATAAATAAATGTATATACGATGCAAATTGACTAGTCTCACTTGTAAATGGGCTTTCTCACATTTATTCACTCACAGAGATCTTCTTTAGGTGAAAGAGGTGACGTGTAAACGGATTAATTCCAATTGTAAATAAATATATGTATGTTGCAAATTGACTAGTCCCACTTGCAAATAGGCTCTCCCACACTTGTTCACTCACGGAGACCTTTTTCAGGTAAAGGAAGTGACATGTAAATAGACTAATTCCAGTTATAAATAAATGTATGTATGTTGCAAATTGTTTAGTTCTACTTGCAAATGGGCTGTCCCACACTTGTTCACTCAAACATATTATTCAGGTGAAGGAAATGACATGTAAATAGATTAATTTCAGTTGTAAATATATATATGCATATTACAAATTGTCTAGTCTCACTTGCAAATGGGCTCTCCCACACTTTTTCACATGAGGGGCAATAGGGTCATTTTCTTTGTAGAGTTAATATCAGTTTGCCTCCTTGATCCTGTAGTGAAATTTCAGAAAGTTTTGAGGGCTCTTTGAAATTAATTTTGTACTGCAGTCCTTGAACGAAATTTTCCCAAAAAAAAAAAACCACGTTTATACTTTTTAATTTGATTTTGATTTTTAATAAATAATTTCTCTTACCTCGAATTCATACTTTTTTAAGAGAGGAATCGGTGTATATATAAATATATATTAAAATATGAACTGTAGTATGATTTGAATAGAATTAATAAAATTTTATGTAATTTCTTTCAAAATTCGTCAGAGGTAGTCATCGACTTTGAAGAAATTAGCTAGTGCGAAACTTCTCTATAATTAATTTCAACTACTATATGACGAGAAATACCTCTCAGGTGGAAAGAGAAATGTCGAATAATGAGCAAGAAAGTTACATAATTAATTTCCTCTATTTTGATTCATTTCATTAGTTTTTCCCTTTTAAATCAAAAGGAATTAAATTTTACCCCTTAGTTTAGAAAATTAACACCATGATTAAGAATAGAAATAGGGAATTGAAACTCAAATTCCAAAACTTTCAAAAATATCACAAACAGTAAATATACCCCACATGCAAAGTGTCAGCAAATTGAGGATATGACAGGGACCTGAAGACGACGTGACATGTCTGCTTCCAATGCAAATGTAAGGTGAACAATGATTGTTTGGGTTCGAAGATTTTGAAATTTGAATACAAACCACACAACATTAATCCTCCTCTTAGAAGGGAAATAACGTGTTAGGTAGTACTAACGAGGATACATGTCAGAAATTGGATCTTCATCCACAGATCTTTGCATAGACCTGCCTGTAGATTGATCCGAGCTGTTCTCAAAGCTTGCCTGATTGTTTGAATCTGTTCTATGGCAATTAAACAAAAAAGCTGGCTGCTGAGGATCTGGCAGGGTGACGGAGTGACTACCTAGCATCACCATAATAAATTGTATCGTTGGTCTCAGAGCTGGATTTTCCTGGATACACAACAAGCTTATATGAATGCATTTAATAACTTCATTTCCTGGACATGAATTTCTTAGACTAGGATCCAGCAATTCCAATGGTGCTCCTTCCCTCCAGAGTTTCCAGGCCTGCAAATGCAATAATATATAATCAATTTGTTTAGATTTTTTATTTCTCTTGCTAGCTACCATTTGAGTTTATTTGCTTTGATAATGTACTTACATAGGTTGCGAGGTTTTCAGCATAATTTGACGCATAGAAAGATGTATTCTTCTTGCCGCTGATGATCTCCAGGATTAGGATGCCAAAACTATATATATCAGATTTGACTGAAATATGACCATGCATTGCATATTCAGGAGCAATGTAACCGCTACAAAATAGCATCTTCACATGATAAATAATCTCTTTTCATGTAGTTCATTATAAATTATGATACAATAAGACATAATATGAAAATGTTGGTTGAAGTGACTTACAATGTACCAACAACTTTACTTGTGTCGGCATGGGTTTGATCAGCTTGGAAAATTCTAGCCATTCCAAAATCAGATATTTTTGGATTCAAATCTTCATCCAACAATACATTACTAGATTTGAGATCGCGGTGTATAATTTTGAGTTGAGAATCTTCATGAAGATAACTTATCCCCCTCGCAATCCCTTCAATAATATTGTATCGATTTGACCAATTCAATTTACCTTTGTTTTCTGCCTCTGTACAGTTAAGAAGCAAATTTAAACAATAAAAGAAAAAGTTAGATTCACATCCCTACTCATATTCAAACAAATTAGTAAACGTTATTTGACTGGATGAGCAATCACATGTGCACCTAAATGCAAAAGCCAATACTGCATAACTTACCAAACAAAAAATTATCCAAGCTTTTGTTGGACAAATATTCATAAACGAGTATCTTTTCTTCCTCTTCTAAACAAAATCCGAGAAACCTGACGAGATTTCTATGTTGAAGCTTTGCCATGGTAACTACTTCATTCTTAAATTCTAGTACACCTTGTTTGGAACTATTTGATAATCTCTTCACAGCTAACTCTTGTCCACCTGGTAAAATGCCCTGCATACATTTAAAATAACAGACCGTTAAAATCTATTTACAAACAAATAATAATTTTATGATTTGGAGAGCGCATGCTTGCGATATCCATCAGGAAAGCAGTATTGTATACCTTGTACACCTCCCCATATCCTCCTTGACCAAGTTTATTGTCGGGGCAGAAGTCGTTTGTTGCTGTTTTGATGCTATCCAAATCAAAATGTAGTGACTCTGAAATCTCAGCTGCATAACCCAACACAAAAAAAATATTGATCAATTGCCCAAGACTTTCTAGCACTCTAGCGATTTGAAGTCCAAACATTATGCCTTTAATCTGAATGCGCAATTAAGAACCATTAGTTCTTTAATTGTTGCAAATTTCTGATATTTTTCATCAAGGGAAAGCTAATCCCATACCAGTTTTAGGAAGTGAAGCATTCTTCCTGGCTCTCCACCATCTAAGGCACAAGAAGCAGAGCGAGACTTGCAATATGAATATCGCCGACTGAACCACTATGGCAATAATTGCCACTGCCGAAATCTTGCTTTTATCTGAATAAATAAGGAAAAAAAAAACTAATTAAGTCCCACACGCACACGCTCTTCTGATTTTTGTTATATTATACAATTTTTAAGAAATAACACTTTTGCTTTTAAATCGACGGTCTTTTCATAACATATACGTTGCGTTCTTGTGTCTGATCTATGGTAAACTAGAAGATATCCATATTGCGATTGCTTACCATTGGAAGCGAAGGCTGACTCTGGCACACGAGGGGAAGGAAGCGACGAAGTCACTCCATAAAAGGGGTACAATTCATACCTTACGTTGCAACTGTAGGCGCGAGCTATGGCCCCTAACCTCCCAAAACAGCAATTCGGATACTCTCCGATTGTTCTTCTCAAACAGTTATAACAGTCATCTCTAGATATATCCGGCGTGCACTGCGCCATAGTATACAGAGTTTGAAAAGAACTGTAGTTTTGTTCTCTCGTCGCATATTTCTTGCTCCCGCTGCCGCCGTACGCCGCTTCTTTCGCCACCACATTCATGGTATCAATCACCAGTTGCATGAAGCTTTTGGGGTCTGCTGCATTGCCGTTGTTGTAGAGGACGCGAGTGGGGTCATCTTGCTCTATGGAGAAGAAATCGGCGTCGGAGTATCGTAACGTGCACTTTTCGTACCAACCCACGGCTCGTGTATAATTGAGGCATTGCCTGATATCTTTGGTTGCCTGGGAAACACATGCTTGACAGGCGGAGACGGCGGTGTCTCCGCGGCAGAGGTAGAGGCCGTAGACAGCGTCGCCATTTTGTCCGACGGTGGTGTTGTAAAAGCCATCGCTACGACTGGCGTTTGAGGAAAGATTTGAGAGTAAGCGATTGAGATTTGAGTGATATGTGCTGTTAGGGGCATAAGTAGGGCCTGAACAATCCACCTGTGGCGTCTGTGCTTTCATTCTAGCAATGAAGAAGAAGACTAGAAGAGCAAGGAGCAGGAAGGCCTTAAGAGAATCCATGAAGTGAATCATCAATTTTCTGGTGATGAAATGTGCGGTTTCACGCTTGGGACATAATACTGGACTCATTTATACACCTTAATGTGAAAGACTTTGAATTTGGAAACCGTTGACTAAGATACATGTGGACGAGGCGGCGCCGCGTCGTAGTCGTGGGTGTCGGCTGCGTGCTTGACTTGTATGTATACCCATCAATTATCCTCCCATCCTCCCAACCAAGTTTTTTTTTGTTTGGACTCACATCCTCCCAACCAATTTAAAGGACTAAAATTTTCATAAAATTAAATTAATTTTTAATATTATCTTTATTAATCACACTCAACCTCATTATATATATTTATCATTCCTTACTACTTCTATATCACAATTTCTAATAATATATATATGTATATATCTAGGGCATATATTGAAAAGGTGTTTAATGCTCCAACAAATTTACAAAATGACTAATAACTATAAGGCACCTTCTAAAAAAATTCCCTAAATGTGGAACTGACGAAGAGAGTAGCTTCCAATTATTATTACTCCTCCTGTCCTTATTATAAGACCCCATTTGACTTTTTATTTGGTCCTAATTATAAGACCCCAATCCATTTTGTCTCTTATATTTATGTATTTTTTTCCAAGATAATCCTTCTAATAATGATAGTTTTAGCCAATATACTTAATTAGCAAGGATATTTTAGGAATGACAACACTTATTTATTATAAATAACCAACTTAACTTACTTCCTTAATCTCCTCAAATAAGTCAATTGGGTCTTATAATTAGGACCGGAGGAGTATTACTATTACCATTAGGACCAACTTTTCTGGGGCCAAAAGTCCAATCAAGTGAAAACCCCTTCTTATAAGGATCGATTTTTTTTTAATTTTCTTTTCTAAACTAAAAGTAGTGGGAATTAATTAATCTTCATTGAATATAAAACCTATTTTATAATATAATTTATAATATAAAATGAGTTTTATATTTAAGACTAGAAGAATACTATGTGATCAAAAATCGAAGTGGATTGATTGGTTCAATTGGCCAACTGGCCAAGTCATCAGTTTGGATATGGGGTTTTACCTAGCGTTGAATTGGTCCAGACTAGTGAACCCGGCGGGTTAACCAAACACACAGAAAATTTAGCTTATGTTTTTTTTTTTGGTTTAAAGTCAAAATATGGTTTATGTTAGACTGCATTTCTTTATTTTAGAGAATGATTTAATTAATAGCCATAAAACTTTTTAAAATTCTGAAGCCCATGCAATATTGCACAGGCAGTTTGCTTTGATCGGTATAGATTAATTAAGATCATATCAGATTAAACATTAAAAAATAAATATTAGCTTAGATGTGAGCCCAACCCATTAGCTCACCAAAAATGACAGGTTTAGATTGACAAAATACCAACTCGTAAAGGTGCGGGCTATTTTAGCCCATACTGCTTTGAGCCCCAACCACGGGCTAACTAGTTGGTTGGTGTGTTAGCCTTTTTTTTTTTTCTCATAAGTTAATTTTCACATCATATTATCTTATTCCAACCCACTGCTCAAGTACCCATATAATATAATAAGCAATTTACTAAAGTTAAAAGGTATTCAATGCGTAGAAGAACAGGATCGTGCCACTGTAAAACACTAAGGAATGGATAGGAAATGGTGGTTAAAGAGCAAAAGAAAAAAGAGATTATATGAATGATTAATGTCGCATAGCTGAGCAGTGACCAATCTTCGTCTTATTTTGCAGAAAATTTCCGATAAGCTAGCACTAGTACATGCAAATATACTCTTCCGGTTCTAAATATAAAACCCTTATACTGATATATATAAGAGTTTTATATTTAAGATTGGAAGAGTAGTTTTTTGTTGTGCTATAATCTTCATCTTTTTGATGTTTTGTTAATTATTTTTTTCAAAATTAGAAAAGAGAGAGAGAATATTACATTTTAAAAAAAAAAACAGACTGGCCAAGGTGTGGGCTATTTCAACCCGCATCGCTGTATTCTGTCCTGTATCTGCACCCCAACCCGTTTTATTAGGTCTACATAACACATATATTGAACATGCGCCAACAAATTTTGATTTATTTAAATTTGGAGCCCACATTATACATATATATATGTTTGTGTATATATTACCCCCATCCTAAATATAAGAGTTAGTTGACTAATTTGAATAGATTAAGAAAATAACTTAAGTTAGTTATTTGTAATAAACAAATGTTGTCTTTTCCAAAATATCCTTGCTAATCAAATGTATTGGCTAAAACGACTATTATTAGGAAGACTATCTTGAAAAAATATATAAATATGAGAGATAAAAAGGATTAGGGTCTTATATTTAAAATCAAAATAAAAGTCAAATATGATTTTATATTAAGGATTAGAGGTATATGTGAAAAATGAAGACCAATTTTTCCGAGTCTTTATTTGTTGGACTCTTCTTTCCGGGTAATCTTTACCCCTTCAAAGGCGCCAAGCCACATACCCATATACTTATTTACTTTTATCCTTGATTGAGGCCGGAAGAAAAATAGAAAGAAAAGTTTTTAGGAGTTTTCTTTCTGAATGTTCTTTTTTCCCCTAACTTTTTTCCTCCATCCAATTCAAACCATATATTTTCGGTAGAAATCTCTTTGTACGGTAATTAAAAAGCTCCGTTAAGTAACAGTTTCCATGAATAAATATCAGTGTCCATGTTTTTGACATCACGGATCTCATCCACTGTCGACTCATACTAGGAATTCAGTACTAAAACAAAGGAACTGAGGAAGACGAAAATTTCACTCTCTTATATAAGAAACTTTTAGAGTATTGTATTTGCGACAGGCATGATAATTAAATTCCTTTGTTTTTTATTTGTCTGTGTTAAATAAGATAAATTATTTTTCTCACGACCACTTCAATTATTACACATTTTGGTTTTAGAGGAAGATCTCGATGTAAGATAATTAACAGATATTTAAAATTGTCATCTGTAAATAACTTATTAATTTGGTCCTAGCTAATTGGGAAGTTAACATTGATCTAATACGTAAAACATATTTCATATATTTATTAATTTTTTTAAATTAAACTTATTATTAATATTCACTCCATCAATAATAATTAAGTAGGAAAGAAAGGGAGGAATAGAATTAAAACGATGCTTATAGTATTTTAAAAAAAATCATATTAACTAATTTAAGTAACATTTTTAATTTATTCTAACTAATTAATTAGGTCTTGAGATTACTATCTATATATAGTCTCTCCCGAAGGTTAATCACGTGGTTAGAATAATTAAGATCGAGTTCATATGGGACAACAAACCATTTCATCCCAGGGAGACAGCGAGGCCTACTTTGCCGACCTCGGGTCCACCTGCTGAAGAAGTCAGGCGCACAGTGAATGTTGAAAATTCATTGCACATACAGTATTAATAATAAAGTTCTTCCAACACGGACACTCATACTTTTTAATTTAGTTTTAATTTTTAATAAATAATTTCTCTGATTTTGAATGCATACTTTTTAGTTCAAATTGAAAAGCTAATCAAGGACATTTGGGATTGCATTTTCTAAAAGAAAGGAACTGATGTAAATATATATGTTAAAATAAGAACCGCCGTGTGATTTAAATAAAAGTCATAAAACCTTATGTAATTTCATTCAAAATTTGTAAGAGGTAGTCATCGACTTCCAAAGAAATTAGCGTAGAACTTTTCTATAATTAATTTATATTATACGGCAGGAGAAATTTCTCTCAAGTACTAACGGGCGTTGCTTCTGGTAAAAAGGGTTTTGGCTGCTTAAACACGAGGACTCAGGTTTCAGTTTGTCAGAATACAAAAAACATCTTTGATAGACCTACCTAGCTCCAGTTAAATCCAACAATGTTCGAATCTGCAGATCCAATCAAATGGTTATATATATATATATATATATATATATATATATAAAGAAAAAAAATCTCTCAAGTGGAAAAAGAAACAACAAATAATGAGTAAGAAGGTAGATAATCTATTTCCTCTGTTTTGATTCACTTCGTTTCTTTGTTTTTCCTTTTAAATCTATTTCAAAAGCAAGTTTTACTTTCCTGGTTTAGAAAATTAACACCTTGAGTAAGAACAACAGAAATAAGGGATTTGAAACTCAAATTTCAAAACCCTAAAAAATATCACAAATATATTCCACATGCATGTGTCAGCAAATTAAGGTGGGGATTGGATGACAGAGACATGAAGACGAGTGAAGTGTCCTTTCAGTGGAGACGTGTGAAGTGTCCAAAGATTTTTTGTTTTTTGGATTTGAAACCCAAACATTAATATTTTGCCATATGAATTTCAGCGTTTATAATACATACGGCTGCTCAAATATTTTTTTTTTTTTGGATTTGAAACCCAAACATTAATATTTTGCCATATGAATTTCAGCGTTTATAATACATACGGCTGCTCAAATATAATCTGTGCCATGAATGCTTTGGCAATCATCCATACAGAAACATCATTGACTACTTACACAAATAACGTGCTTTAATTCATGATGATGCGACACATCTACACCTATTTGACACACTACCAAGTTGAGTACGTAGTTGGGGTGAACAAAGGTACCAACGAGGATGCATGTCAGAAATTGGATCTTCATCCACAGATGGTTGCATAGACTTATTTTTAGATTGATCCGAGCTATCCTCGGAAATTGCTAGACTGTTGTTTGAATCTGTTCTATGGCGGCGATCAAACAAAAATGCTGGCTCCTGAGGATCTGGCAGGGTGACGGAATGACTATTTAGCATCACCATAATAAATTGTGTATCAGGTCTTAGAGCTGGATTTTCTTGGATACACAAAAAGCTTATATGGATGCATTTAATAACTTCATTGCTTGAACAAGATTGTCTTACACTAGGATCCAGCAATTCTAATGGTGTCCCTTCCCTCCAGAGTTTCCAGGCCTGCAAATCCGATAATATATAACCAAGTTTTTAAAATTTTGATCTCTCTAGTTACCATTTGAGTTTAGTTACTTAGCTTTGCTAAGATACTTGCATAGGTTGGCAAGTTTTCAGCATAATTTGTTGCATGGAAAGATGTATTCTTCTTGCCACTGATGATCTCCAGGATTAGGACACCAAAACTGTATATATCAGATTTCACTGAAATATGACCATGCATTGCATATTCAGGAGCGATATAGCCACTACAAAATAGCACACACTACATGGTAAATATTATCTTTTGCCGAATTCATTATAATTATGATACAAAAAATATAATAATACAAAACTGTTTATTTAAGTAACTTACAATGTGCCAACAACTTTACTAGTGCTGGCTTGAGTTTGATCAGTTCCAAAAATTCTAGCCATACCAAAATCAGATATTTTTGGATTTAGACCTTCATCCAACAATATATTGCTAGATTTGAGATCATGATGTATGATTTTCAATTGAGAATCTTCATGAAGATAAAGTATTCCCCTTGCAATGCCTTCAATAATCTTGTATCGATTTGACCAATTCAATTTAGTTTTGTTTTCCAGTCCTATATGGTTAATAAGATGCAAATTTAAATAATAATATAAAAGGTTAAATTCACATCCCTACTCAAGTTCGAACAAATTGTTAATAAAAATTATAAGACCGGATCCATAATTGATTGCAAAAAATAATTCTGCATAACTTACCAAACAAAAAATTATCCAAGCTTTTGTTGGGCAAAAATTCATATATGAGTATCTTTTCTTCTTCATCCAAACAAAATCCAAGAAACGTTACAAGATTTCTATGGTGTAGTTTTGCCATTGTAACTACTTCATTCTTAAATTCTAGTACACCTTGTTTGGAACTACTTGATAATCTCTTCACAGCTAACTCCTGTCCACCAGGTAAAATGCCCTGCATATGAAATAACCAAATATTAAAAATTATTTGTAAAAAAAAATTAGTTTTATGATTTTGAGAGTGCTTGGGATATATACATCAGAAAAATAAAATTTTATACCTTGTACACCTCGCCATACCCACCTTGGCCTAGTTTATTGTCGGGGGAGAGGTCGTTTGTGGCTGATTTGATGGTATCCAAATCAAAATGTAGAGACTCTACACTTGAAGTCTCACCTACATGACCCAACACACAAAAATTGCTCAATTTCCCAGGACTTTCTTGCTCTCTATAGTTATTTGAAGTACAAACATTGTATGTTTAATTTCAATGGTCAATTGAGAAGTGTTAGTTCATTAATTGTAGATCAAAATGTGGGTTAGAATTAATTAAAATCAATAAATACGTAAGAGGTATAATTTTCCTTTCAAATATACCCTCATGATTATGAAGATAGCAAGTGAGAGAGAATGGGTGAGGAAAAAGATGAGAGAGAATGAGTGGAGAGAAAAAAAAAAAAAAGAGACAAGATATATATTTAATTAATTAGGTAAAAATGAAAAAAGTGTATTAAATTTTCAGACAAATACAAAGTTTTGCTCATACACAAAACCAGCCTGATGTAAGAGAATGTTACTTGCATAAAATCGGAAGAAGTGTTATTCGTTAGGAATGGAAACTTTAATTTATTACTTGCATGTAATTAAACTTTAATTAATTAAAATGAAAATTGAACGTTTGTCTAAACATGAAAGCTGATCCCATACTAGTTTTAGGAACTGAAGCATTCTTCCTTGCTCTCCACCACCTAAGGCACAAGAAGCAGAACGAGGCTTGCAATATGGCTATCGCGGTTTGAACCACTATGGCGATAACTGTCCTACCCGAAATCTTGCCCTTATCTGAATAAATAAAAAAACTAAGGGTGTGTTTGGATGAAACCAAACCGTGGTTTGGAAAAGTGATTCTGGAGAATAGATTCTGGAAAGAATAGATTTTATGAAAAAGTGATTTTGAGAAGTGAGAGTGTTTGGATAGTTGTTATCAGAAGCATTTTTTATATATACAAATTACTAAAAAAAAGAAATAAGTTAATATGATAATTACAGAAAAAATAGATTTTATGATATATTTTAATTTAGAGGAATAAAATTGTTAATAATATATTTTTTATTAACATAATTAATAATACATAAGATAATATAATTAATAAATAATTAATATGTATATATATTTATAAAATATAAGATTAAATATGTTTATAAAAAAATATGTTTATAAAAAAAATAACAAGATACATATCCTATAGGCTCTCACACTCTCCCTTTTTTCTCCAAAAGCAAAAATTTTTTGCTTTTTCCAAAACCATGATTTTAGTTTTTGAGGGGGGTGTTTGGATAGCATTTTGTGCAAACCATGGTTTGGGCTTCCAAACCATGGCTTGCAAGTGCATCTAAACGGTGCCTAAGTCACACACATACACACTCTTCTGATTTTTATCTAAATTATATAATTTTTAATTAAAAATATTTTATTAACTTAAACACGTATTCTTTGCGCTTGAGTTTTTAAATCGAGGGTCTTTTCTTAAATTTATAACTAAACTGAAATATAAAGTATTTGTCAATAAGAAATTTTATGTATATTTCAAAGATAAAAATTCCGCGCAATTTACTTGCATGAACTAATTTATGAATCAAACAACACGTCACACCACATCAATCAATTGTAAATCTATCAGAAGTGTTTTATAAGTTTAGTTTGTCTCCACACAAAAAAAAAAACCAGTCTTCTCAAGTCAAACTCTACTCAGATCTTATATTAAGTACATAAAGTAGTATGATCTTTGACAGGAAAAACTCATATACATCGCTATAGGCCAAAAAAAAATTATATTACTTGTACGCTAACACATGCGCAGTTGCAACCTGTGCCATCTAATTGAAAATAGTCAAAGGGGCATGGTCAAAGAGACCCATATAGCAAAAGCAGGTTTATAAGTTCAAGAGGCTAATTTTTTGAGATTAGGCACATACAATTGATTATATTTTCTGGCAATAATTTTTTTTGGGTATAACTCAGAGTATCTTTAAGTCACTTTAAGCCAACAAGTGCGCTTTCCGAGATTCAAACTTGTGTTATCTTCTTCACAGGAGGTGAGACCACCTACTATTTCAAAGCTGTTTATTTTCTAGCAATAATTGAGGGGACATATTTGTGCTGATACTCATCAACTCACTTCTAAATTTTCATAACATCACACACTATGCTCTTGTTTTAGATTTATTATATTTTAAAACAAGAAGATATCCTTACGATTGCTTACCATTGGAAGTGAAGGCTGACTCTGGCACACGAGGGGAAGGAAGCGACGAAATCACTCCATAAAAGGGGTACAATTCATACCTTACGTTGCAACTGAAGGCGCGTGCGATTGCCCCTAGCCTCCCAAAACAGCAATTCGGATACTCTCCGATTGTTCTTCTCAAACAGTTATAACAGTCATCTCTAGATATATCCGGTGTGCACTGCGCCATAGTGTACAGAGTTTGAAAAGAACTGTAGTTTTTTTTCTTTCGTCGCAAATTTCTTGCTCCCCCCGCCGCCGCCGTACGCCGCTTCTCTGGCCACCGCATTCATGGTATCGATCACCAGTTGCATAAAGCTTTTGGGGTCTGATGCGTTGCCGCTGTTGTGGAGGACGAGAGTGGGGTCATCTTGCTCTATGGAGAAGAAATCGGCGTCGGAGTATCGTAACATGCACTTGTCGTACCAACCCACGGCTTGGGTAGAATTGAGGCATTGCCTGATATCTTTGGTTGCCCGGGAAACACATGCTTGACAGGCGGAGACGGTGGTGTCTCCCCGGCAGAGGTAGAGGCCGTAGACGGCGTCGTCGTTTTTTCCGACGGTGGTGTTGTAAAAGCCACCAATGCTATTGGCGTTTGAGGAAAGCGTTGAAAGCAAGCGATTGAGATTTGAGTGATATGTGCTGTTTGGGGCGTAAGTAAGGCCTGAACAATCCACCTGTGGTTCCTGTGCTTTGATTCTTGCTATGAAACAGATTAGAAGAGCAAGGAGCAGGAACGCCTTAGTGGAATCCATGAAGTGAATCTTTAATTTTCTGGTGATAAAATGTGCGGTTTCACAGCATGATGCTCGACCTATTTATACACCCACCTAGAATTTTGATTCGGAACCTCTTCTCTTCCCTTTCCATCCTCTTTCTTCCTCTTCTTTTTTTTTTTAAACGTTAGATTTATATATTTCAATAATTTAGATTTTAATTTTTTATAAACTATTTATAAAAAAATTTAAAAAACATTTAGTGCACTTACAAATCATTAAAATTAAATTTTAATATAGTTTATAATTTATAATTTATTTATTTTTTATAATTTAACATTTTAATAATAGTTTTAAAAAGATTTAAATCTGAACTGTTAAAATATTAATCTAACGGTTAAAAAAAGAAGAGAAGGGAAGAGAATGAAAAGGGAATAGGAGAGGTTCTCGACAGCTAGAATTTAGAAACAGTTCACCAAAAGCTTGTTTGGCATCACGTAAAGTTTTTGAACTTTGTGGGGATAAAAAATTAATAATTAGCATGATTTTGAAGGTAAATTTCTATGCCCAAAAAAATTTAAACGTTAAAGCAACTTTTTTCCCCTGAGTTTTGGCTTTCAAATCTTTTTTTCCCCCTTAGATTTAAATCTTTTGAATATGAATTTTTAATATATTATTCGAATAAGTTTCTATCAAAATAACTCATCTTTGTTAAAATTTATTTAAACATAAATTATATTACCCTAATTAATTTTTATCTCAACTCTTTAATTTGTAAGAGTCATTTTACTTATATTAATCTGAACTAACCTTAAAAGACATGTGAATAGGACTACGTGGTGGCTGCGTTGTGCACCCTCCAACTCTAATCACTCCCGAATAATTTATGTGCTCAATAAAAAAATAATCCAACTTTAAACGTTCCCCCCCCCCTCAACTTCAATATGCAAGAGTCATTTTAAATGTTTATTCTTTATCTCAATTTCAATTTGTAAAAGTGATTTAAAATGAAAGTCACTTTTACCAATAGAAAGAAGTCTTAAAACACATGTGAATGGGACTTGGTGGTGGCTGCGTGACTTGTATACGCTCCAACTCCAACCATTCCGGAATAATTTATATGTGCCATAAAAAATAGTTAAAATATTAAGGTTATCATGAAATTAAATTAATTTTTAATATTATTTTTATCACCCCCAGTCCGCAACCCCATTACTCTGTGCTGCTGGTATTAATTTATATCCGTTCTTACCACCTCTATATCACAATTTCTAATACTCCTCTGGTCCTATTTATAGGACAGAGAAAAAAGATATTTTTTGATCTTATTTATAAGGCACTAAGAGAAATTTTATATAGATATGTAATTTTATCCGTCATTTATTATTATGTTGACTTTGTTTACATGAGGTATGATGTATATTAAATAGGGATAAAGTTGAAATATTATTGAATTTTAAATAAAAATTAATGAAGTTTAAGATTGTTTTTAGTTTGTGCAAAATAGATTGAAAGTGGCTTATAAATAGTATTAGAAGATTACTAATATACTATAATAGGGCATATATCAAAATACATATTTAATGCTCCGACAAATCAGGAAATTAATACCTGTCTATCTGTATTGATATTTTTGAGTGAGGTGACTTTTGTAAGGAAATTAGCAGAGAGGAAATTAATCGATGCATGGCATAATAAATACCTATGCTGATATTATTAACCAAGTTAAGGGATACTCTATCCAAATTTTTGGATTAATCCTGTCCTTTTTATATATGATCTACTGTATTTTGAGGTTGTCTAAGCATTAAATGTATATTTACTAATTGTATCTTTCATCAATTGCATTATCCTTTTTTCCCTACATCCTCTTTTATTTTTTATTTTTAAATTTCTCGCTCTCTCTCGCCTAACTTGTGCTAAACAGGGGTATGTTTGAGAAAAAGAATTCTTTATATATTTATTATTTTTAATTAAAATTAACAGATTTCTTAAACCATGTATTTGATAAAATAAAAAGGATAAGAAGTAAACTTGCCAGAAATAAAACTCTTTCCACTAAATCTGCTATTTAAACTCCCAACCATTTAGATATATTAGGAAAAAAAGAAGAAGCTTATATCGCCTATTTGACCTAAAAAGAAAGTGAGAATTACAATAAAGTCTTAAGGAAGAAAATAATTACATAACAAGTTCTAAAAGTTGTCATTTCTTGTTTTAAAACTTGCTATTATAAACTGTTTAAGTTATTATTGAAATTTTTTAATAATTATTTTATTTTATTGAAATCTTATTGTAATTTCCCCAAAAAGAAAAGATGCTTGTGTCGCTTAAGCTAGCATGAGCTAGTTTTGCATGAATAGTTTCTTTTTCCGAAAAAATAAGCTTAAAGGTTAAATTAAAAAAACAGGTATAAATCATGGGGGAAATGAGGGAGAAACCTCGGCATTCGTACGATAAGAATACACTTTTTTTTTTTAATAATAAAGCAAAAACAAGAACTAAATTTAAAAGTAATATAAATTATTAAAAAGTAATTAATTAATTTTTATTGACCCCAGGTCAATATAATACCATGAAATATAAAATCCGACCGAATTGACAGGCTCAATTGGTGAATTCCAAGTTATTGGTTTGGAAATATGATTAGATTAAAAACTTAATAAAATACTCTAACTATCCCTTTGTTTTATCTTAATTACACAGACTTCTCATATATTTTGAAAATGTACATTCAAGTCCAAACCATGCATAAATAATATTTTGAAAAGATTTTAAAAATATGCTTTTGAATTAAAATTTCTATTGAAACAAAACTGATTTAATAATTTATCCTTATACTACATTCCTAATTTACTTTCGATGGTTTGCAAAATTAGGGGGAAAAAACGGGAGCAGCAAGAACAGCCATAGGGAAGTTAAGTGCAGCAATGGAGAACTGAGGAAGCAAAAAGGATGTATTTTTCCAAATCAAAACTCATATTTGTCCCTCACCCTAGTTCCAAGCTCGTTCTCGTTTTAATTTTCTTTTCTTTCTTTTTTTCCTTTCGTTTTCACGGATACCGTCTTCTTCCCTCATTCTTGTTGGCATCCTATAGAACATGAAAATAGTTTCATAACGGTGAAAATAATTTTTTGAAACTTGCCAAAAGGATTTGCTTGATGAGCCAAACTGTTTTAATTTGGCAAAATAGTTTTAAATAATCATAGTTGTTGGCACTCTCTTTTTATTTTAATTCAGAATGACTCGTGATTCTCCTTGCTCTCTCTATATATATAGTTTAATTTGATGCAAATAATGTGCTATTTCCATAAGTATATACAGCGGTACGGTTGAGGTAGAATGCAAAGAATCTTGGAAATTTAAAAAAAAAATTTAACTGATGTGATAGGGGACAATCGTTATATAATTATGACTTAGTATTACAGTAGTAATTTTGAAGATTATTAAGTCAAGAAGAACTCGTAACAAATTAACCTCCCTTAACTGCTCCAATAATACCTTCTGTTGCTCCTTCATAGTAGGATTTAAGTTTTGTTGTTTTCTTTTGTAATAGGATTTTAGTTTTTTTCCTTTATTTTTATTTTTAAATAATTATTTGCTTAATATTTTGTTATGAGTTTTAGCATTGGCCGTTGAGGTTAAAAGCTTGACTAAAAATTTGATTAATTATTGTAATAAATATATACTTGACTAAATATGTTTATAAATAATAAATGCGAGTACAAAAATATGTTTAATAATTCTAAATTCTAAATTTAAATGTTTTATACAATCTCTCGAACTTGCCATTAAGAAAACAAAATAAATAAGTTTCAATAAATTTGTTGAAAAATTCAAAACATAAAATTTTATAATATAATCAAAATTACTAAATTTTATAACATGTTAGATTGTTGAGGTAAATGGAACTTAACTATATCAGAGGTTGCTGTAAATTATATTTTAATTTTACGGAATGTTTATATATATATATATATATGTATATAGGTTTTAAAAATGTAGGGAAGATATGTGTAATTAAAGCAGGACCGAAGAGTGATTAGAGTATTTCGTTTAGAAAATTTTGATCCGACATAAACTTCTTAATCTAGTGTTAAATGGGTCCAAATTAGCGAATCTCGGTGGGTTAATTAACTAGTTTATCGTGTTGGAAATCAAAAGTTTGCACAATAAGCGGAGAAATTTAGGGGAGGAATGGAAAATCGGGAAAAAGTGGGGACAGCCTTTTTGTAATTTTTCCCAACACAATATGTAATGTTATACCAAAAAAAAAAAGAGAATTAACTTATGTTGGATTGCATCCTCTTATAATTTTAGAGCATAATTTACTTGGCATAAAAATTTGAAGAGTGTGTGTGTGTATGCACACAAGCTACTTCGGTATAGATTAAGATCAGATTAGATCAAAGCATTGAAAAAGAAAATATTAGATTAGATGAGCGCACAAACGTGCACACACCTATATATCAAAATCTGGCTACAAATTTTTGTTTATTTAAATTTGGAGCCCACAGGTGGAATGCATATTAAATATTATACGCGATAGTGAAGATCGACGACTTTCCTTCCTGATGCCCCTTGCCCCACAGGAAGAAAAAATAAAGGGGAAAAATAATAGAAAATTAAAGAAAACTCTCGAAAATATATAGGAATTATTTCTTTTGTTATTTTTAGAAAATTTTCCTCTTAATTTTTTTTCCTCCATCCAAATCAATTTCTCTTTGCTGAATATCATATTGCTCACCAAAAACCTCTTTCTACGATAATTAAAGATAAGAGTCCATGTTTTGACACCACGGATCTCGATCACTGTGCACTCACATTAGGAATTGTTTAGTAATCATTATTCATTGCAATATCGTAATATCAACAATTTCAAATTTAGCATGCCACATAAAAATTAAACAACATTAGTTTTGTACGAACCATGAATTTTCTTCCGTCCCATGGAGGACGCCTTTCTTTTTAACGCGACAATGAAGAGTGACGACCCACTTTTTGGGTCTCCCTTATTGTCTTTTGCTCAAAACATTTA